TCTAGTTTTTTTCTCTCTACTGGTCTTTCTGTTTAAAACTCATTTGCTGTTCTCTTGATGTTTCTTGAATAGACATTGAAGATGGAAGCCAGAGTATGAATGTTGGTACCATTACTGAAGGCCTGAATGATCTTTTTCCTCTCACCATTGCTCATTTGAGAAAGACGGTGGGTCTTACACAAAACAATTTTAACCTGCTCTTTTTTAGCTGAATAACCCAATGTGTTTTTTCAGTGATTCTTACGACATATGGTATCAACATGGCTAAACTTCTTATTTGGAAAGCTGGAATAGAGAAACTCAATTAAGTAGTTTTTTTTTTTTTTAGATATTAAACACTTTATGGGATGGTCAGTTATACTATGTTGTTTCCACACACGATAAATTCAGATATGCAGGTGTAACTTTCATTGTGAATATACTGTATAAATGGAGTAAGCAAAGTAACTTGCATAAAAATAGAACATGAAAACGATTAATTGGATATATTTTTTATTATTTTTTACGAGTTGAGTTACACAGCCTTGCACGGGAACCTATTTTTCTAAATGAAAAGAGAAACAGCCTGACACTTCATTTTATTTATATTCATTATTAAATAAACTAAGGGAGGTAATCACCCATTAATTTACTATCAAAAGCTTATTACCTCCATTGCCACTATAGTTTTACGTGAGAAACCATATTTAACATCCATGAGAATTAAGTTCTTGGAGCTTACTTTTTACCTTTCATGACGTTTAATTTTGATCAATATTACGTTTACAATTTTATATGATACTCTCCGAGTCACAGCGTATCAGGATAGCAAGTCTTGCTTAAAAGCAATCATTAGTTTCTATGTCTATAGAGGACTGACATTCAGATTTGATTTTATTTGTGTTGTAGGAATCGATGAATTTCAAAGGATAAGCATTATTTTAAATGTTTAACGCCATATTCTTTCAGGATGTATATGAACATTGAGATATCTGGTACGTGTTTTTTATCACATTTGTTGATTAAATATAGCCGTAGAAATGCACCCGCCAATAGATATTTCTTCTTGCGCGTTTTTAGGCTGCCATTACTTCCGATTTCTCGTCAACTAGCATATCTCGCTCTGACTACAACATTATGGCGTGGTGAATTGCGTCATGGTGCTCGTTTTCTAACAGACGGTGGCCAACTGACCTTACCAGACCGTGCCGTTGACAAAATCAAAAAGCAAACAACGCTTTGAGCGAAATTAATGGAAAAGATTTACCCATCTCACCTATATATATATATATATATATATATATATATATATATATATATATAGATAGATAGATAGATAGATAGATAGATACATAGATAGTAGAACCTAGCAGTACGAGGTTAATTAGTTCGCCGACCAAGTTTGTATTGCAGATTACACGTATTACTAAACATTTTCCCACTGAAATTGACATAAGATTATTTAATCCGTTTCTATTCACCCAAATCAACCAAAATGTCTATTTTAGAATAAAAAAAATAGAAAACGGGGTGAAAGAAATTAAATCACATAATAAACAGCTTTTATTAAATTACAGACGTTTCATGAGAAAGCTTCTGGCGTTTTATCTCAGATCTTAAGGATTTTTCTGGCATTTGAATTGCTTTCGGCATCTCGAGACCCAAAGAATTGCTAAGAGACATTATCTTCTGAATTTCGGATTCGTCTGTGGCAAAATTCTCAAATTCCGACGCATTCAACTTACAGCTTTCTCCATGCAGAATTCGGGGTCCGCCTCAACACATCCTGCAAGTCCACATTGATGATACTGAGGCCTTTCACAATGTTGAAGTGCTTCTTCCAGAAATGACGAAAGCCCAAGTTTGTATTATTGGTAATATCAAAGCACCTACGAAACAGATGCTTATTATATCATTTCTTAAAATTGGAAACCACTTGCTGGTCCATTGGCTTCAAGATAGGGGTGGTGTTCGGTGGCTGGTAAAAGCTTTAATAAATTTAAATTTTTCCAAGATTTCATCGTAAAGATTTGAAGGGTGTCCAGGGAATTATCGAGGATGATTAGGACCTTCATAAAAAGACTGTTCATTTTAAGAAACGTGTGGACTTGAGGGACGAAAACATCATTGATTCATTCTACAAAAATTTCCTTACTCTTAGCTTACCCCATGATCTGCAACTGCCTCTTTTGGATCTTAGGCACCCTGAACGCCCGGGGGTTCTACGAATGATACACAAGCAGGGACTTGATTTTCAGATCACCATGAGAATGAATATTAGGTGACCTCAGCTGGCAATGCTTCCCTATTTTTCATCGGCTTGTGGCCTGACATTCTCGGCGGTGATGAACGTCCTTCTAGGCATATTCTTCCATAGGTATTCCAGACTCATCGCATTTGAACCCTCGTTGACAGCCATATCCCTCCTTTGCGATAAGAAAACTGAACTCTTTCACGAATTCCCCGGCGGTTGTCTTGTCAGGACTAGCTTCACCCGGTCTCACGACGCTGTACACACAAGTTAACTTCTTTAAATAGTCGAACCAGCCCCGACTGGTCTTAAGATTTTCTGCTATAGTCTTTCGAGTCGACGGTCCTGACTCCTGCTTCTGGAGATCCCTATATAGCACTCGGTCTTTCTAAGCAATAATCGTTTGCGTCAGAGTATCTCCTGCGAATTGCTTCTGGTTAATCCTAAGAAGTTTTTCCATCTCCTCGTAGATATTCGTCCTTTGACTTGACAGCATGGAGACACACTTTGCTTACGTAACACCCTGTATCTCATCCGTCTTTTTTCAGGTGCAGATTGTTAATGTCGTTTAATTGTATTATCCCGAGTAGTCCACTACACAGACGTTTCTCTCCTGTTTTCTATTATTTCTTTCTTCACTGATAATATAATTAACTTTTTCTGCTTATCTTTAATACCACAATCTTTAACGCTTACTTTCTTCGAATCCATGTTTGCATGAATCCAAATAAATGCAAGCTTTACAGACAATTCTCTGGTACAAAAGGATCAGAATGTTACCGCTACGAAATGAATACTTGAATCGAACGAAAATGCTGGTTGATAACTAAAGGGAAAAGGAGACAATTTGTAAATACGCTTCACCTTGCCTTTGAGTGTGTTGTTTCTTAGGAATAGATGACATCAGCTGGTAATGCTTACCCTTACCTCAGTCACTGACTACTTCCGTGTATATGACGGTTGCTCGTACTGCGAAGTTTTACTCGTCCTACGACAAAAGATGCTCACGAATGGCAGCTCGTAAAGCAAGATACCCGTATAATGATGATCGTACTACAAGGTTCTAATATATATATATATATATATATATATATATTTCAATTAAAAAGTGTAAATATAATTTATAAATTCGTGAATCATTCATACAAAAAACAAATATAGAAGTTATTCTCGCCATTTAAATCCTTAACCTCTATATTTGTTTTTTGTATGAATGATTCATGAATTTATAAATATATATATATATGTATATATATATATATATATATATATATATATATATATATATATATATATATATATATATATATATATATATATATATATATATATATATATATATATATATATATATATATATATATATATATATATATATATATATATATATGTATATATATATATATATATATATATATATATATATATATATATATATATATATATGTGTGTATATATATATATGTGCGTGTGTGTGTGTGTGTGTGTGTGTAAGAAGCATCAGGAGAACGGTGAATATTTTTAAAAAACGGAACAGTAGAGAGCAAAACTGGATCAGGAGATCACAGCAGTAAGAGGGCCCATCATTTCAATTTAGAGCTAAAGAGATCAACTAGAAAAGATCCAACTCAATCCATAAGACATTCGGTACGTGGGAAAGGGGTTTCAGCTATGACAGTCTAAAGAGCAGTTAAAATAGACTTGAAAATGAAATCGTCCGTGAAACATCTACGGCAATTTGCTCCACCAGGACAGAAAATTAGAATGTTAGATAGGGCGAAGATCATCTTAAATAAGTTATAAAATGATCCTGGAATTATATATATTTATATATTTAATTTCAATTCTTCATGAGCATCTGATCCTTAGTCATTTTCGTTTATGATCGATTTCATCACGATTCTTCTGTCAAGCTTATAGAGTAATTATACATTGTTATTGCTCGAAGTAGAGTCCAATAGTGTTATAAAACCATCAGATTTTTTCAAACTTTCGGCGTACCTTCAATTTCGTGCGCACGTGAATAAAAACATGACATTAGTCCGATGACGCCCTAAAGCACAAAAAGTGTCAAGCTAAAATCTTTTCTACTTTGTCACTGATTTTCCTAATATATATATATATATATATATATATATATATATATATATATATATATATATATATATATACAAATATATAAAGAAATAACAGTAAGAAAATATAATCCGGTGTTCTTATAGATATTTTTATTTTTACAACATAGCGCTCAATGTAAATTTACAGAGATTTAATATTATAAATTAATTGATTTAAAAAAATATTGTTATTTTCGCTACACAGTTCTAACCAAATTGCTTAATGATGAAATGGAACCAATGTCTTTAATTTAATTACAAAATTAAATTCGAAGCATTCAGCTTCCATTTTTGAAACATGGTTAGTACTGTGTAGCGACAATAACCATATTTTATATCAATTAATTTATTATATATATATATATATATATATATATATATATATATGTATCGTTGTATGTGTTTTGCATACACTATGAAAAGTTGAAGCCATTGAAGAAACTAGTAGAATTAATAGTTCTTGAACAGAAACAATTTCACCAAGCGACTAACTCATAATAATTTATCATTCTTTGGTTATTTATTTTTTGTAATTGTACAATAAAACTTTATGCGTCGTATTAATTCCTGTCAGGTATACTGGGAGTAATTTCCTTGCTAATTCAGTGAATTAATTCCTTGCCACTGGCAGAGTAATAAAACCCTGAAATAATTTATGGCGTATAAGCTGAATAGATAGGATAAGAAAGAAAGAAAGAAAGAAAGAAAGAAAGAAAGAAAGAAAGAAAGAAAATGGAAGGAAATAAAATAGCAAGGATGAAATCGAAAGACAGAAAGAAAGAAAGGAACAAACAAAAGAACAAAAGACAGAAAACAAAACATACAAAAGAAATAAGAAAAAAATAAAACTACAGTGTAACCTTGATATAAGAGACCCGGATATAAGAGAAACCTGGTTATAAGAGAGATTTTCTCTGGTTCCAAATTAGAGCCTGTGTTAATGTATATAAAATAGACCAAACCCGGATGTAAGAGAAACCCGGATATAAGAGAAACCCGGATATAAGAGACTTCTTCTCCGGTTCCGACAACTCTCTTATATCCGGGTTATACTGTATTACAATAAAGGAGGAAAACAAATAAAAAAAGAAAGAAAGAAAGAAAAAAAGTAACAAGAAACGAAATAACGAAAGACAGAAAGAAAACTTACAAAAAATAAAACAATAAATTATTAAAATAAAGGAAGAAAACAATTAAAAAAAGAAAGAAAAAATGAAACGAAAGAAGGAACGAAAGGACGAAAGAAAAGAAATAAGAAAAAATAACACTATTAAAATAAAGAATGAAAATAATTACTAGAAAGAAAAGAAAAGGGAAAGTAAGAAAAAAAGGAAACAATTGAAAAGAAAGAAATAAAGGAATGAAATAAATATAGAAAAGCAGAAAAAATAGTTAACGAAAGAAAGGAAAATCTTAAGAAGAAAGAAAGAAAGAAAAAGGAAAGACAAAAAAGAAAGAAAGGAGAAAAGAAAAAGATTGAAAAATGAAAACAAAGAAATGCCGGTAAGATTGCTGTAAGCAAAAAAAATGAAAAATAGATGGAGCAAGATTAAAGTAAAAAAGAGAAAAATCGAAAGAGCATAAAGAAAGATATTATTGACAAAAAGAAAGAAAAAAGAAGTGCAGAAAAAGAACGAAAGGAATGGGAGATAAACATGAAAGAATGGAGAAGTAAGAAAGAAAAATTCAAATAGAAAAAGATGAATAAAACGAAATCAATGAAGAAATGAAAAGAAGAATGCATAAGGAAAATGATTGAAAGATGGACAGTAAAAATGTCTGAAAAAAGACAATAGCAGTAGAAGAACTTAAGATAAAAGGAAGAAAATCACAAAGAAAGAAAAAATACAGCAACGAAAAATTTAAAAAAGGAAGGAAATTGCCAGAGGAATGAAGATAACCGAAATAAAATATCATTAAATATTATTCTTAAAATATCATAAGAAAAAAAGAAGGAAAAATAAAGGAATTAAAAGGATTTTGTGTGAGAGAAAAAACAAAACGCTTCGAGGTGAAAAATACGAAGGAGAATGGGAAAAATAATGAAATGATAAATCATTAAGAAAGTGGAACGGAATGAAGCAAAATGAGAAAGAAAGAAAGAAAGAAAGAAAGAAAGAAAGAAAGAAAGAAAGAAAGAAAGATAGATTAGTGTTAAGTGTAAAGTCAAGAAAGGAAAAGTTACACCAGGATAGAGAAAGAAAAAAGAATAATGACTAAATGAATGAAAAGTAAAGAAAAAAGATGCCAATGAAAGAAAGAGAGAATGAAAGAATCAATAAAGAAATAGAAACAGAATGAAACAAAGCAATGTCAAAAGGAAGAAAGTAATAAGAAAGAAGAAAGTAAGAAAAGAAGAAAGAAAATAAGAAAGAAGGTTAAACGAATTGTGCAAAAAAATAAAATACGACAAAATTCAAAAAGAAAATAAAAACGTAAAATGTTTGCCTAAAAAACTGGGAATAAATAAAAATAAAATTCGCACACATAAATTGCACGAAACGAAAAGATAGCAATAACAATATTTTTTTAAATGGAAATATATTTAGAGAGACTCTAAATTGAATGTGATTTGCATATAATAAAAATGATACCTACGAGGGTTCACGAAACAGATACTATGCAAATTACTTGACAATGTCTCGTTTTCATTTCAACATAATTCTTGCTACAATCAGACTCAACAGAAAAATAAGCGTTATTTTTATTGGATGGACTCCGACAAGACATTTATCCGTAATCAACTACATATATATATATATATATGATTGTGTGTGTTTGTGTGTGTACTGCAACAATTGTACACTAATTTTCTACTGCACAAGATAATAAGGTAATAACTGAGGGTTTCAATATTCGAATTGCAGCTCAATCAGAAATAAAATGGTGGCTCGTAGCAGGAATTACTTATAAAATTAACGACCAATATGAAAACCACACACACACACACACACGCGCACACACACACACACACATATATATATATATATATATATATATATATATATATATATCCGCGTGTATGTGCGTAAGTAGTTCCTAAGTCTCCGGATAAAAATTGATTTTGTCTACGGAATATTTGTTTTTCAACATAATCTCTTTCAAATGTAATGCACTTAATTCAGAGATGTACAATATTCACATTGCATTATGTAATGACAGTTTCTCATAAAATCTCTGTAATTGGTTACGCATATATACAAAAGGCGTTCCAATAACTTTGACTGATTTTAAATTTGAATTAAGTTTAAGCATCTAAGGATTTTTTTTTTTTTTTGATTTTTCTTTCAGAGTTAAAAAATTAAGTCTTTATAAATTTCAACCTTGGAAAGATTAACAATCAAGCAACGGATTAAAGTTTCAAGAATGCATTTATTAAACAGTGTTACGTCTATCGGCCTGTGTATTCGAGATATCCTAATAAAGAAAATCCTTACGACAGCAGGGGTCGACTGGGCCCCCCTTGGCTGGGAAAAAACACCTTTTATTGTCCTTTCCTGTTCGGTCGCGAAGAACCACGCACTGACATATTTTGCATTTTCCGTTTCCTTTATTTTTATTTTTATTTTTTTTAAGGAATTCACACCCTACTCACCGGGATTATTTTCTGGAATGCTTCATCTCTGCGCAGTTAACGTAAACGCAAGCAAAAATGAAAAAAAAAATTTAGTATATATATATATATATATATATATATATATATATATATATATATATATATATATGTTGTCTTGACTAAAAAAAGTAGGTACAAATAAACATGAATTGTGTTTAAGAATGATATATTCAGTATGATAGATTACAAATGGATTTCTGGTAAAAAGATTTTTTCTATCGGAAATGAAACAAGGACTTTAACGCGACATTTATAGCTTTCTAGTGTCGCATTCCCTAAGCTATACGTCATTTATGCAAGTAAATTATAAATTATACTTTCCACATTAAGCTGTCCATTATATCAGTCCTGGGGAATACGTAATGTATCTTTTTATCTTTTCTCGCAGAAACATAAATGAAGACATTTTTGGTGTTTCAACACATATTCATTTTAAATTTCACTCTATAAAAATTTGAAATCAACTCATGTTTGATGATTTCAGTGAAAGTCTTAGTTCTGAGCGTGGTGTGTTGTGAATAGAAGATTCACTTCTTCCTTTTCTTTGCAATTTATTTAAAGCCGGAAAATATTTTTTACATAGCTGTTTTTTTTTTTATCTGCCTATGTTGTCCTCATCTTTATTGCCATATTAAACATCAAAATCTGTCTCTATTTCAGAGATGAGGTATTGTAACTATTTACATTGTTCGGACTGTTGCCCTCATCTTTATTGCCGTAATCACGACGTTTCGGCCAATCTACGTTCCGGCCTGCCTCACGCTATTAGAATTTCGAACTGGACCCTTTATTTCGTCTACTGGTTCCACGCGCCATGCCTCTCCCGGATGTCTCAGTATCAGTTATCTCCCTTTAACTCAACTCTCCAATTTTTTGTTCACCTCTGATGTAAACAGCTACTGAACTCATAACTCTTTGGGTCAAGTCACTGGATTCACTGGTTCAATGTCGCGAACATACCAACAAAAATAAGTATTTTTTTTAGATAATAATTATTTATTGATACAACTTTTACTAATTAACTCAAACCTGGCGGAGGATAAGAGTTGGATTCATGCCTTTCGCAAGGATAGTTGCGTTGAATATAACGAATCCTAACGGAACTAGGCACTCCGATTAACTATTCCCTGCCATCAACCATTACACCGGACACACATCCAAGCTTAGGCACCTGGTATTCCAAAGCGGTCACCCATTTAGGTACTAACAAGGATAGCGGTTGCTTAACTTCAGCGATCAGTCGAAAAATGGTGTTTCAACGTCATTCGCCCATAGTCCTTACCACCTACACATCCAAACTTACAATATCTGGCATTCCAAAGGGGTCACCCGTCTAGTTTCTGACCAGGCTCGAAGTTGCTTAACTTCGGTATCGTACAAGGACCGCTGTTTCAATATTATATGGCCTCAAACCGTACCACTCGCATATCCAAGCTTACAATACCTGGTATTCTCAAGCTGTTATTTTATCTAGGTGATGACTACGCTCGACGTTGCTTAACTTCGGTGATCCTACGGGAACCAGTGTATGCTCATAAACTATGAATGGAAAATTAGGAGGTAAGAAATAAATATTATTAGGATAAGTATTTGAAAATGACATTTGACCCTTGACCTAAAGAGGTCAAAACTGAAGAATCCAAAGACGCATGTACGAAGGAGCTATTGCCACAACGTGTCAGAAACACAGGTTCTCGTACGATCACCGAAGTTAAGCAACCTTGAGGGTGGTCAGTACTTACGCTTGGAAATACAAGGTGTTCTAAATTTGAATTAATAAGTACTTTTCACCTGAATTTACCTCTTCTCATCCACAGGTACGGTGTAAGTAACAGGAATAGTATCAGTAAAAGCATTGTTATCTCCAAACAAATTCTTACAATCCAAGAATATTTTTATGGCTTTTAATAACCTGCATAAGGTTGATAATCCATAAAAAACAAGATAATCAAACCTTGTGTCAAAAACGCTAATATAAGTAAATAATTTCACTATTTCCATTCTTCGAAATGGTCGTCCTCAGGCCACCTCGACGTGGTGTAATGGTTAGAAAGCTTGTCCTGCTAGATTAGTTACGACCGAGTAGTGAGTTGGATCTTCCAATGGGTGCACCATACGTTCAGCCTTGTGCCACATCTACGCCACGCTTAATAAATAAGATTTTAGTCACTCGAGTGCTATACACATTCTGCTACTTATCGGCCACAGGGATCCGCCCCTGCGCTGGTAGCATCCAGCTATGACTAGCTTGGACCACCTAAAACATGCTAAGACCAGCGACCCGAGTAGGGGGTCAAGTAAATACAAACTGTCGTCCTCATCTTTATTGTCATATTCACGGCGTTTCAACCATTATAACCTCCGTCTTTCTTCAGGTGATACACATTGGCGTTTCGAAACTGAATTTTTTATTTCGTTCACTGGGGTAGATTGCTCTATTTCCAAGTGCCAAGCCTTTCGTTGATGTCTCAGTTTTACTTATTTCCCTTTAGTAACTCAATTCTTCAAGTTATTTTTCACTTCTTCTATGGACAGGTATTGAACTCACAATTCTTTGAGTCAAGAAACTGGTTTACTTCAATCAACGCTTTTATCCACTGAGCCATGTGTCCTTGTTGAAACCTATCAGCATAATAAACAAACACATATGAGGCAAATGATTTTAATCTCTATCTATAAAAGGCAGGATGTGTGTGTGTGTGTGTGTGTGTGTGTATGTATGTGTGTGTGTGTGTGTGTGTGTGTAACGAATGCACGGCCACTATTTTCGACGGATTTGCACCAAAATTTACATGCACATGCTCCAAGTTAGTGGAAAGGCCAAGACCGACTTTGACTTTCCCAACTCCCATTGATAGGGAAAATAATCGATTTTTTCATGCATCTACAGCAGTTTTCATGTAGTTTGCGGCCATTTTCTACAGGCCAGAGTGAGAGCCAATAGCTGACTGACACGAATGTTAACAAGAATGCTAGCATGCAAAAAAATCGATAGCTGCATTCGTCACAAGTGGGAAAAATTTTAATCTGCATGGCACTTTACTCCAATTGGCTCATTCGCTTGCTTAAACTCAACGTTGATTCTGATTCCACAGAACTGGGTTGGGTGTGAAAAAGTATTTTTTGTTAACGTTCTTTTTTCATTCGGTTTTTCTAGTTACGAATTCTATTTTAAAGCTGATCGTTTTGTGTTCATTTTGTTTAGTTCTTTTTTCGTAACAGATTTAATGTTTAGTATAGAGCTTAAAAAAAATTCGCAGTGTGAGATAGGCAAGAAGTAAGGCATGTAGCAACATCAGCACGGCAAAGAGCACTCCTTTAAAGGCAAGGTAGGGCAAAAATATTTTAAGTCAAGTGATAGCGATTGCTGTATGAGTCGTACGATTTTTAAATCAAACACGGGCAACGCCGGGCCATGTTAGTGATCTATATTTCATAAAAGTATCAGAAAAAAAAGCTATGCCTTTTCGATTTTCGAGGCTCTGGTTTCGATTTCATCAACGCCTTGCCGTGTTTATCACTAAATTCTACGGGCACCCGTTTAGAGTTCCTTGACTGCATATTAAAAGATCCAGCTTTGATACCCACGTACATAACACG